ATAATGACTCTTTTCGGTTGAAAGAGATTTAACCTTATGTGCTTACTTCACTAATTTACTTTTATCTTGAAAAAACATCATCTTTTCTTTGATAGTCTCAGAAGTAATAATTCTTAGCAGCTACTGACTGACCGACTACCAGGTTTGTATTGCATCGTATTTTGCAGCTATTAAAAAAAAAATACTCATCATAATGCGCTTTTACTAAAAAAAATTGATGATTCAAAGACCAGCTTCTTATCATCAACCGTCCAGTTATGGGTTTCAGCGCCATTCTACTTACCAATCAGGTAGTTCCTTCACATTAGGTGCGTTTCATTGTTCAGTCCAATCATATATAGGTAAATCTTCGCTGAATGTCTTACAATGTAGTGCTCACTTCATTATCTTGTTATCAAACTCAGAGAATGTAGCATTATATTAGTTATCTATACAATTGATAAATTACCGTCAACATTTATCGTGCGAAAATGTTATGGATGATGAAATATATAACATAGCATATACGCTGAAAACCTCCTAATCTAAAGTACCTCTGAATGTCAATTACATTAATTAGTTATTCCAGCTAGGGTTTTATGGTCTTTTTGAAGTAATACAGTCACCCGAATTGACCACTGACTAGTGAGAAAAATCTTAAGTGTGCTCACTTTTTTATCATTGAAGAATCTGACTATGCCTCCAAGTCTTTTGCGACTAAGGAATTCATATTCATAAGTCAGCCTAAAAAGCCAATCAACATACACATATAACTCCCCTAACCCTATTGGATAAAACTGGTCAAGATCTAGGTGACCTGCGTAATTCGCTTCAGTGATCATGATAAACAGTTAGGTTTAAAAGTGACTGTAAGTAATACCTATCTCCTCTAAAGTTAAGATAAAAATGCTACTAAGTTTCTTTTTGCTCAATAGAATTTTCTACAAGTCGACAGTAGTTATACATAACTCGAAAGTACAAAAATAAAATCGACAAGAAAATAATTTCAGATAACTGAGAGAAGTCAGCTCCGCCTCCCGTTCAATTTAGTTTCCAATGTCTACATTTACCTTATTTCTCTTAGCGTAACCTTGTCTCTCTTTAAGAAATCAGTGTAACATACAGCATATCTTTCGTACATTCGTGAAGCAAAGACGTTTGGACAGTGATCGGTTTACAGACCATAAGACTACTTGTTTAATAACCCACGTTTATTTTGTTTCTCCCCTCTCACGACTTAACTGCCTAATTAAGTCTGAAATAAAATGCTTAAACTTAATGTATAACTAAATCATGTCATGTAAAAATCCTTCTCGTATATGAACACTTTTTAACGGTCTCACTGGCAAGAGAAAACTCAGAAATGAAATCTGTGAAAACGTATGTGCATTAAGTGAGTCATTCATACGTAAACCCCCGAATGTTATCTTATCTAGTTCTTCACGTGTTCAACTGCCTAAAATCATTCAAACCTTCTCAATGCCTCCCAAACCGAATGTCATGCTGGGTATTCTTTTCACGAAATCTGCTAATATTTTATGCTATCCACTCAAAGATTTTTAATATCTTTTACTAAAAACGACGTACCAACTGCCTGGAAAGAAATTAAAATAGTTCCGGTACCTAAGTCCGTATCTTTTGGAGCCAAAGTGAAATTCTGACCGATCGCAATCGCCTCACCATTCCTAAGAACAATGGAAAAACTATTGCTTCGTACACTTGAACCTCCTTTGCAGGCTTTCAGTCTGGACAAAAGTGCCAAGTATGTTAGATCTGCCTGATAGAAGAAAGTACACTCTATGCAGAGGAGAACGCTCTACTTCGCTGCTTAGTGAAGCCAATGTAACTCATTATGCTCTTTCTCCTTTCCTTTTCTCTTTCTTTTTGCATGACTTACTAACCTCAACTAAAGATAACTTTGTTAAGTGTGCTGATGACCTGGCAGTACCCATGCTGATTATCTCTTCTGATTGTTCTGTTTAATAACTTCTTAAACGAAATCGGTTACAGGTCTTCCTTAAATGGCCTCACACTCAATCCCTCCAAATGTCAGATGGTTAATTCTAGCTTAAGACATGAAAAAGATCTTTGCATATTGCTTCAGTTCCATGACTGTTGTCTTGTAGATGGCTCTGTTATAGAGAATGTAGAAAGCCTGGGCCATCTTAGCTTATGCTTTTCTTCTGATCTTTCTTAATCCCTCATATCTTGCTGATTTCTAGGAAAATCCTTCACTTGACCTTTGATATCAGGAAATTCAAACTGTCTAGCATAACTCAGCCTCTACTCTGACGTTCCATTGATTCCTGTTTTATCTATACTTACTTATTGTTCCCCCTTATTCTTTCCTGGACTCCGGAAAAAAGACTACGTTGTATTACGTAGGATTTTGAAGGCTGTTCGTAGAGTAAGTAACACACCACTAACCGAGCTGATAAATGCACAGTCATGGATAGACATTTGAATTCTTGTAAACTACTGGCTAAAAATACTTTATCTGATGACAAGAATCCTCTGAAACCACACCTCACTCCATGTTTGTCATCTGGGAAGACAAATATGTTAAACTCTGTACACGTACAACCACATATCATACCTTATTTAGTTTGTGTATTGTGTGAAGAAAGTCTTACTAGACATAGTCTTACCAATCAACTTTGTAATAGTGAACCGTTGTAACATCCCTGAAGTCATTAATCATTTCGATAATCTTGTTATTCGTTATTATATATTGTTAAACAGAACCATTGTTAGTGTTTTAAAAATGTACAATGGGTAAATTGATGTAATATCACACGCTAACAATTCTATACTGTGAACATAATTATAGTGCGGAATAAAGCAAACATATTATCATTATTATATCACTCGTATCCTCTTACTGTTATATCGTTTGTATGGCATATTCCTTCAAGAGAATGTTGCATCAAGTTTACGTTTTAAATAAGTAAATAATAATGAACGCTACATGAGGAATACAGCTCTTTGAAAAACTAGGTGTAAAACAAGACTCAAATCTTCAAAAGATTTTACACGAAATGATTCAGAAAATGCATAGAGTAGTACAGCAAAGAAAGCTCTTTTTTTATTCATTCTCAAAGCTGTACAACTTTAGATAATTTTCGTGAGCAAAAATGTTTCATAAGAATTTGTTTCTGATAGAAAACATGGTAATAAGCACAAGTTGTCATTATTAGAGTTCACTTTAATAGAAGTTAAAATTTCGACAAGGAGTTACGGAATATACTGAAATACCTGAAGAATGCATCATCATGATTAGATCAAGAAGTATATTGTTCAGCCAAATATAACAGACTTGGCTGCAGTTTAGTGTTCAGTTTTTCGATTATCTCTATGACATTATATTACAAATTGAACTGAACAAAAACTAGTTTCTCTCTTGTTTTTTCCTTTGGCCTACTATTCACAAGCAGAGCTCTAATTCATTGTTTGCAACCACCAGGTAACGGCTTTGAAACTTAATTGTAACTATCGAGGTTTTGGCAACAAAGTAGCCTCATCCGCATTCACATAGTAGGTGTGGTTTGCTACTTAGTTCACTTATATGTATATAGTTGAGATGCTTTAAAAAAAAATACTTTTTTTACATACTTATTGAAAAGTTTTCTGAGGACAGTGGTCATGTCGCAGGATCTTTTTATTACTCAACTCTTTATGCGATCAGGAATCCATAAATACTCTTTGTATTACTTCTAATTGTATATACAGGATATGTTGTATCTGCGGAACCAGCTACACTGGGAAAGAGGACATATATGATTCCCTGAACATGCACCCAAGAGCCTACACTTTAAAGAAACAAATGCTTTCAGTAGTGTTATTGTTATGGGTTCGAGGCGCTAATGGTATATGTATATATTCTGAAACGAATATAATACGCGCGCTTAGCTGACAGCTACTTGGTACGCAAGAGTCACTGACTGCAACCCCGGTACGAATAGAGAGAAGACCGAAGCTGGCAGATGGGAGAGTGTATATTACTCCGAGAATATAATATAATAACAATGAATCAATCCAAAACACAAGAATAAGTATACACATGAAAAATGACCTTGTCCGCAATTTGAGAAATTCGCATAGTAAGAGTAAAAGTTAACCAACGCAGTGAATTACATTACAATGGAGGCAGAAAATAGACTATTAGTCATACCGCCAAAACGATGTGGGAATGACACGTTAAAATGTTCAGATCAATAACAATGTTTTATACAAAACTGAGGCATCAAAACAGTTATATGCACCATTATTGAATCGAAACAGTATATGGAGTGAGTACTTTCAAATCCTTTTGGGCAATTATTGAATTAAATAAAGTATAACTTTTGATATTGACTGGTCACAGGTATCAAATTTTGGAAATTGGAATTGTCTCAGTAAATATTTAGTTATCAGTCTTTTGTTGCCCTGGTGATCTAATTGTTAATTCTTCGCCCTTACTTCATGGCAAATTTCAGTTTATAGAAAATTATGTCAGCCCCATAGCAACCGAGTTTATTGCTACGGAATGTGTTCGTTACTTATCGTCAATTGACCTATCTGTTAATCGTCTTACATAATCCTTCATTTCAAATACCAAAACACATCGATAAAACCCGAAAGACATGGCTCAGTATTTTAGGGAGACGACTAACAACCAGTGAGCCACGGGTTCGAACCCAGCCCCCACCTACCGAGGTTTGGGCAGCCAGATAGTATCACTAACCCTCTCAGAGTATATGTGACACATTGCCTACTGCATGGATGTGTCCTAGGTGACTGAGTGCATATCGTTTTTTCGTTGATAGGACCCTATTAACTTTTGTCTAGTGAGTTATGTAATTGAAACGTCTTAACAAGATCTATAGATAATCTTGTTTCAATACTTATCATTCCTACAAAACGTTTTTTTCCTGTCAACTTACATTATTTCCCTGCAGAAAGTTAAAATTCTTTTGGGACTACTATTCGTATAGTTCAGGTTGTAAGCAACTGAAAAGAAATCAACTAAATAAGATGATAACGCGTTATTGTGCAACAATTTCTTTCAGTGTCAAAATTATGTAGTCTGATCAAAACAAACAATAAACGCTAGGGATAAAACAATTAAAATGAAATAGCCTCCCTCATCTTTATTGACAGTTTGTTCAGTAAAAGCGAGAAAATAAAATGTATCCACCCTTTGAACAAACACGTCATCACTACAGATTAATAAGTTAAATACAGAAAATCAACTTTCTGTGGCATATACTGTTAGAATAAAAAACAAACAGTAGTCATATTTAAGTTGGTTTAGAGAGAGAGAGAGAGGGAGAGAGAGAGAAAGAGAGAGAGAGGAAAGGGGTGAGGGAAGGGAGATCAAACATTGAAAGCATGAAAAACCTAACGGTACAGCTTTACAAAATATAAACAGAATATATTTCTAGGTTATGCCCTAGATTGGAGAGTTCACGGACTTGCATACAAATAAGTAGAGCTTGTGTATTACCTTAATTGTTACAAGTCATCTTTATAAAGCAACCATTCTAAATGGTCAATTACTGCAAGACTAAGGGTAAGAAGAGACATTAGTTTGGTTGGTTGGAGCCAACTGTTTTTCAATCTCCTGAAGCTTGGAAGAAGTATCTACTGGCCGGGCTTCACCAAATATTTTAGCATGGCGATCAGATATCTGTTCATGTGGTTCACGCGGTGCGGCACGAGGAAGCAAATTAAGCTTAGAGCGTTCTGTTGATGGTGCTGACTTGAAGCTAGGTGTAAAGCCAGAAGATGCAAACCCACTTGAATGGCTTACAAGGCCTCTCTTCCACGGCGATTCGCCGTCAACGGCATCATCTCTATATTTAAAACAGATAACATGATGAGAATATTATTTTAACGTGGAGTTCGTAATACTTATCAGACAATGAAAGTACATATAATACATACTTCTATGAGATTTAGTCGCTTTCCGACAAAATAATTATGGACGAGGTAGGTAGAATACAGAATACTTCATTGAGTAATATGCGTACAAGATACGAAAATCAACACTTGGTACTTTTATAATATTAGCAGATAGTTTTGTATTTCTCTCAATGCCAAAAAACGAAAAGTCTACGCACTCAACTTCATAGCAGTAATCCCTACTTTACTAATCGATCGATGTTTGGTACCTTGGTATGATACCTAAACTTCCCCGTCGTTATAACTGAGTTAACGGAAGCTGACAGCAACGGTTGTTACTAAACACCCTTTCATAACAGGAAAATCGATTGCCTAGAGATGAGAATAGAACCAACAATTGGTGCTAACGTTAATGTCGACTCCCTCCATATCTATGGCCCTAATACTGTTTAACATACCCCCTTTGCTGCTCAACCTTGGAGTTGAAAATATAATATTGCTATCAGCTTTCAACAACGTACGTTGCTTCTTTTGGAAAACATATTCTAACTTCAATCTTGCTATACTTTGTAGAACGTTCATCCTGTATTCTGGTGGTCAACAAAATCGTCGTCCTGAACAGGATGACGTGAGAAAACTGATTGCAGTGAAGCAAAATATTACAACTAAATACGTTCAAAGTTAGCCATTGATGGTTTCGTAAGTATAGAGTACTGATCGAACCTGCAAAAAGCCATCAAGTTATGACTGAATGTTTTTGAAAATGGTTTCCGAACATAACTCCTAATTATGTAATGGAACCATACGCGTCATTTTGTATTCTTAATTAGGCTGGGTCGAATGATAGGGCTGCAAATCTGTACAGTGGTGTGGTTAAGGGTATGGACCACGCATAGAGACACTACCATGGAAACAAGCAATGGTCAATCTGCTCGAAGCTAGTGGGAGCTGAGGATATCAAATAAGTATGTTCTGGCACAACCTTCACGGTAAGCCTGCTGCTGATCCTCGGTAGCAAAACATGGAATCAATTCTGACCCATAGTGATACGTTTCTGAAGAACAGTTCAATTGGTCCTCAGCAGTGCTTCAGTTGCCCAACATTCAACCTGAACCTGAATGCGACGTACATGTCGGTCCTCCAACTCTCCCTGAAGTTGAAAAGGCTGCGTTGAACCGGAAACGACGTAAAGCACCAGGACCTGACAGTTCGCCAACTGAAGCTTTCAGGGATCGAGGTACTGCATAGTGCACACGAATCAGAGGTAGTGCCGCCAGACTGGTCTACTTCACTGATCATCCCAGTCTATAAGAAGAGCAAGAAATCTTCTTGTGAAAACCATAGAAGAATTAGTTCGACTAACATTGTGTCCAACATCCTAACGTCCACAGTTATCCAACGCCTAACTGGAGCTCGACAACAACAAACTAGAGGTAGCCAGGCAGGTTTCAGAACTCGACGACAGTGTAACGATCATCGTGTGAGCAATGTTGAAGTCAGGGGAATGATATTAAGCAAGACACGTGAGTTGATTGATGACGTTCTTAACCTCCATCGGCTGAGATAACTCGGATATGTACTGAGCATCCCAAACCAACGTCTACCTCAAAGTGTCATGCTAGCACAAGTTGAATTAGGTTAAAGAAAGGTTTAGGATGATCAAAACCAAGACCTGGCACCAGTCCATCAAGTCTCTGACTGTTCGTCTGAGTCAGGTGGGGAAATGTAGACTGTCTTGCTGGGGTCCCCGAGACAATTTGGACCAGTGGTTGAGGTCTCTTGGAGAAATCGCTGAAAACTGGTCACAGATATATTCACTCTTTGATGCCGTCTCTAAAGCTTGAGTGTTCGCACTAATCATTATATTCAAATTGTTTATTGTTTCACACAATTTTGTCTACTTTGATATCAATTTTTCCATCCACTTGTTCTTTGCGTACTATTGTGAAGTGTGGCAACATGGACCGATGCGACTGCATGCAAGGCTCTACGTTGCTTGTGTCTGTCTACCCATTGGTGTTGATGATACTTTGTCGTCTAAGATTGTAGCATCAACTGCACATGTGGATCTAGTCTTCCTTCGAAGGTGCCAACAGATGGAACCGAGATTATACTAATTGAGAGATAGTTTCGGATTTTCGGAGATCTAACTGAGAAGAATCTTTTATTCATTCCAGAACTCGAATGTAGTATTTCAAATTTCTGCTCGTGTTCCTTTGAGTATATTGTAGTTGTTTATTTTGATTCGTCTGTGCAATGCCCAGGATTGCTAATGTTGAGCATACCATCTTGAGGTCAGCTGAGTGTGCACATAATCGAGGTAGAATACGTTGAGTATTTCGCACAACTAAGTATACCTGTATCCCATGACCTGGAAGAGAGTTAAGATCTGGTCGACACCTAAAACCAGGTCTGGAACCTGCCTGGCTTTCTTAGAACTGCTCCAGAACTTAAAATATATTTTAGGTGATCATAGAACCTAGGACCTCAGACAATATATTGATCAAGCTAATTCTTACCCAGTTACCGCCAGAAAACGTTGTCTTTTACATTGAAGACTAAGACAGTGGGCGATAGCGATATGTTTAAGGGGACCCAATTTAAATCCCATAGCAGAAAAACTGCCTCAATCGGTCAAACCAATAATCTTCGACCAACGTCTTTGAAAACCCTTGGTGCTAATCTATCAAGATACGCTTCCTTTCCTTGAGTTAGGTGCAGTCTTTTATCCGTTAGTAAGTTAGGTGTTTTATATCGAAGTTATATTCAAGATATCTTTCAATGATTGATGACAACCCCTGGACGATGATCTGATTTTTTAATGTCATGAAAATAAAATGTCAATAACATGTAACAAGTAAGCGGTAATCATAGGAGGAATAAAAACACTGCTTACACCAAAAACAACGTACCGAAGACCAGCAGGTTTATAACCACCACGACGTTCGAAAGGCATATCACTACGACGAGAACCACCAAATGAATTCTTTTCACGTCCGAATCCACCACGTTCATTCTATTATATAAAAAAAGAACGTATTGTCACGTAAATTTTCAGACAGCATTAGTGTTCCAAGCTTAGCTCCTAGTACGAATTTTGCAATACGGTTTCCGGTAGTCTGAAACTAAATGAATATGAAAAGCCCACCACAGGAGGACAGATAGAACTCCAAACAATTATATAAGGACCTAGGTTATCGCACTAAGCAAAGTAAAACGGAGAGATAGACAAAAATGAAAAGATGGTGCTTTTTCATGTTACCTATATAATCGCCTGATGAATCATATATGCTGGTTCAACATAAGAGAACCAAACACGTAGATCTGTATATTAGTACGGTTCACTGTGTCCATCAGTGGCGAATAACCACTTACTTTGAAGTATTTGTCAGACTACGCTGTGGTAAATATTCAATTAATTTATACAAAATGGAACACTGAAATTAAGATAGGGTGAAAAGGAGAACAAGACCATTGGCAGCTACCATATGTTTTTTCATAGTTGAGCTGTGACGATAAGAATACAAGTTAATTCACACTTCTATCCCTACCTAGCTGAGAAGATAACCAGTTTTTTCAGGTGTTTTTGTTAGTCATAACTAATTTCTGAGAAGCCTTAGAAATGAGTGACGCAAAGAAAACGTTTGCTCTATGTTAACTGTTTGGTGTCCTCCTAGCTTTAAAGCCTGTTTCATCCTCAGGCTGAGACCCTCATCACGACTTACTTCCCATAGAAGTTTACTCTGTCTTATGGAGTTTAACCGTCACCATTAAGTATACATGTAACTCTGCCAACATTTTCACAAAACGAATGTCTGATTCATTTACATGCTATCTGGATCTTAACAACTCAAAATGCATCTAAATTGTCCTTTACAAACTTAAAGTATGACAGTGTGACGGTACGGTAATATGGCCTTAAACCGGTCGATGTGTTGCATACACTTCAAAAACAGTGAGGAAGGAAAATCAAGCAATAATTAAATTAGCTGCGAAGGGCAGAAACAAGTAATAATAGGAATAAGAAAACTGGGTATATATTAACACCATTGATCTCTAATCATATTATAGTTTGCATATCTCGACTGAAGTAGCTTATAACAGCTAGATTATCAAAGATTTCATCAGATTATAACGTGTTGCGTAAGAAACACGTCGAAGCTTACTTCATTTCCACTCGTAATTCAAGATCAAAAGTAACTTGGGAGAGGTAACTGCTCGGCAGACCTAACTTGGTCCAGGTAACAGACACACCTAAAAAATTAACAATCAATCTAGTTGCAACATACAAAACTATACGCTGAGCGATATTGCTAACATAATGATATAACCAACTGTTGATGACCCTTCGAATGTATTGGTAATAAGATACAAAAAGACTGATATCTACGAGACATCGCACAAACCTGAAGCACAGAAGAGCTCACTACTTTACCAACCAAGGCCTATAGTACAAGTACCTCATCTGTGGAACAGGCCGTATGAGTTAAATTGAAATTTTTATTGCTCAACCAGTTCAGTTAGTGTTGTAAAATATGACATCCGTACATATCTTTTCTGAAGCATCATCTTTTACTTGATAGATGCATAGAACGTGTCAAATACTTTCATTCAGCGAAGTTCATATTCGGTTATTTGAAACCCTAAAAGCCATCCCAAAAAAAACATAAAAATGCACCACTTTAAGACAAATTTCTGTAACACAGCCGATTATTGATATCAAAATTATACCACTTAGATTTTTGCATTTTAATTAGACAGATAGAGAATGCTTAACCCTGTACAATATTGTAACGGTTGACGCTTTCATTTTGTGAGTAGTACACAACAAGAAAACCAGCAATGTATACGATATAAAAAATAAACAACCCAAAATAAATGCACAAAGAAGAAATATGTGCCCAAGATCTGAATGGAAAAATTTTGGATGGACTCCAACAACTCTGCCTCCGATCACCAAACGCATCAAAGATAAAAACCTACTTCAAAACACCAGTTAACATTCATCAGGAAAAAAAGGTACCTCACATATTTTCAAATTATAACAGTATAACGACATGTACATCTACCAAATAAATGATAAAATTGGAGGGCACATGCTGATGCATATAATTCAACTACTATCTAGAAAGTCATATAATACGTACTGACGAAACTATGGCGGTCTTACCATCGACGTCTGCTACCCAACTGATAGGATTCGCCGCAAATGTCTACTGAACAGTGATTGAAAACGGTCACCAACAAAGCACTAATGATCTACATAAAGATGAGGAGTTGACGGTGAAGTTGTATCGTTGACCCTAGGAGGTGAGAATGCAGCAAGATATTCCTTGTCTTTCTTAATCACACGGGAGGGTTAAAAAAAGTCGGATAAAGCGCAGAACACTCTCCCGTGCCCAAGGAATTTCCAAGCTAGTGGCATGGGTTTATCCAGTTACAGATGCAACTGAATCAAAAGCGTATGCAAATATGCCAAGAGGGTTGTGTATGATTAGTCTTAAGCAGGCCTCCTTTGAGCTTTAAGGTCAAACAAAACTGAAAGTTTCTCCTCACAGCACCTCGTGATGATATGAAATTGCGTAAACTAAGGAAAACTCAAACGCATACAAGTTTCAAGCGGCATACAAAACCCATCTAACCGTAAATGCTTGTCTTTTACCAATTCACTATTGTTAGTATTATGCTTCTTACAGCCTCCTACCCTCGGACCATTGCCGACGACCCAAATAAGTAAAACACTACTTCTTGGTTCCTAAAATCCTGCTGTTAATTTCACATTGAAACCATCAAGACATGAGTCTTAACACAGCTCAGACAATAAGACTCATTAGAGAAAAATCTGGAATATCGGAGGCTGAAATCGCGCTCAAAACTAAAAGTCGGAGATTTTAATATCTGCACTCTCCGTAAAATCGGACAATAAGCCTCGTAAACCAAAACTATGGTATTTCGGGGCACTGACGTGTGTTGTGTTAGTGAGACACCCAAACAAGACAAAAGTGCGGTTATGCACTTTATCTCGAGCGGTGAACATCGTAAATCCGTAAAATCCACTGGGAATTTTGTCTAAAATTATACGTTTTATAATCATTAAGCATCTAAGTGGAGCTCGGACGCTGAAAAAACCTCATAAAATCAGGGAGACTTCAAATCTGGCTGTAGGCGTATTGACCAGATATTCACCCTCTTTCAGATTCTGGAACACTGACACACTTGCCGATGCTCGAGACTAGCTCTATTTCTGGACCTGAAGGTGGCATTCGACCCCATCAACCATGCGGTTTTGTGAGTATCTTGCTGAGAGTTACTGAATAAGTCCAGCACTGTTGAAGGCTCTTTACTCGAACACCCGTAGGCACGTTAGAGCCTATGGTGAGCTGTGTACATCGAGTGCTGTCCGTCAACTATGCCCACTATCTCCATTCTGACGCAACATCATCATTGATGTACTTATGGAGGTCTCCCTATCGTTGACTGAGTTTGCCGGGGTTGATCTAATCACAGGAGACTCGTTGGTAGAACTAGAGTACGCAGATGATATAGTCCTGTTAAGTGAAGACGCTGATAAGAGGCACTCTTCCGGACACCTTGGGGAGTAATTGGAGAACGTTTGCGATGAATTTCTCCCCACCAAATGCAAGTTGGTGATCCAGAACTGCTCTTCAATGGTGCCTTGAACAGCATTCGGGAGGGAAGTAGTCAAGTGCGTTGAACGCTTCACTTAACTGGAAAGTTGTACCAGCTCTCGTATGTCGATGGTCGGCGAAATCTCTACACGGCTACAAAATACTCGATTGGATTTCGTCACCTCTGGCATTCCCGCGGTATTTGACAGTCTATTAAGGGTTAGGTGGACTGTACTGCTGTCCGGTCTCTTTTACTGTATGGCTGAGAAACATGGAAATTAAAGACAACGAACATGAAAGGTCTTTAGATGTTCGACCATTGTTGCCTTCCTAGAATAGGTCCTACCTAGGTGTCACCAAACCATTAGTACAGGGGTCAAGTGCAGAGTTCTAGATGACACGAAAGTCAGTTGATGAAGTTGTGGACTTTCATTGGCTGAAGTGCCTGGGACATGTGTTACGCACGCCTAGTTGCCGTCTGCCCCGTTGCACAATGTTAGCTGAAGTACGATCAGACTGCAAAAACGCTCAGGGCGGTCAGATTACAGCATAGCATCACATGGAGTCTTTGATTGCTTGTCGACGTTGTGCAAGATAAAGCAAGCTTTCCAGTTGAGGTTCACATGAAAACAGGACAAAATGATTAGAGACTGTAGGTGAAATGCCTCAGAATCGATCCCGATGGTGCAGCTTTATCTATACATTATCCTAATCTTAATCGCCACACTGAATTCAGCAGTTTCACACACTTCCTTTTTATCTTTTACCTCTCTCTACTGCTTTTGACCAATTCTTTTCTCCTTCATCTTTTATCTCAATACACTGTTACTTTCCTCATACGAGGTACGGTAACCTCGACAGTTATGCAGTTATCCCTGGCGAAATTTTGATTTTAGGACACACATACAAGGCTCAAGTGCAGCTGTTTGATTCATATCACAGAGCCGAAGTAAGGCATCCGCAAAACTCACCATACCAGAAAGAAGGTTTGATGGCTTGTTCCTGTGGACCCGGTAGACCAGCTGCATCACCAAGTTCCAGAACAGGAGAAGCATTTTTCGACTGATTATCAGTCAGTACCCACGTGTGCTTTGCAGCTGGATGGAACTATAAGAATTAGAATAGCCTCTATTCCCAATGAAGCAGTTCACACAATGCTAAGGGTCGGTTTTGAAAAGTTAACCATTTTTCTACACAAAGCAAAAAGCTCAGCAATAACCATGCTTGCAATTGAGTAAGATAAGTGAGGTAACTGGAAAAGCAGTAGTGGGTGGCGAAAGCGACAGAGATGGAGAATGAATCAGAGTTGGGCAAAACCCAACAACTATTTAGGCTTATTAAAGATACTGACAAGAAGGATGGAACACTGATAACCTCTCAGGATAGGCGGCTAGAACGTTGGGCAGAACACCTTGAAGTACAGTTCAACTGGTCCTCAGCAGTGCTTCAGTTGCCCAACATTCAACCTGAACCTGAATGCGACGTACATGTCGGTCCTCCAACTCTCCCTGAAGTTGAAAAGGCTGCGTTGAACCGGAAACGACGTAAAGCACCAGGACCTGACAGTTCGCCAACTGAAGCTTTCAGGGATCGAGGTACTGCATAGTGCACACGAATCAGAGGTAGTGCCGCCAGACTGGTCTACTTCACTGATCATCCCAGTCTATAAGAAGAGCAAGAAATCTTCTTGTGAAAACCATAGAAGAATTAGTTCGACTAACATTGTGTCCAACATCCTAACGTCCACAGTTATCCAACGCCTAACTGGAGCTCGACAACAACAAACTAGAGGTAGCCAGGCAGGTTTCAGAACTCGACGACAGTGTAACGATCATCGTGTGAGCAATGTTGAAGTCAGGGGAATGATATTAAGCAAGACACGTGAGTTGATTGATGACGTTCTTAACCTCCATCGGCTGAGATAACTCGGATATGTACTGAGCATCCCAAACCAACGTCTACCTCAAAGTGTCATGCTAGCACAAGTTGAATTAGGTTAAAGAAAGGTTTAGGATGATCAAAACCAAGACCTGGCACCAGTCCATCAAGTCTCTGACTGTTCGTCTGAGTCAGGTGGGGAAATGTAGACTGTCTTGCTGGGGTCCCCGAGACAATTTGGACCAGTGGTTGAGGTCTCTTGGAGAAATCGCTGAAAACTGGTCACAGATATATTCACTCTTTGATGCCGTCTCTAAAGCTTGAGTGTTCGCACTAATCATTATATTCAAATTGTTTATTGTTTCACACAATTTTGTCTACTTTGATATCAATTTTTCCATCCACTTGTTCTTTGCGTACTGTTGTGAAGTGTGGCAACATGGACCGATGCGACTGCATGCAAGGCTCTACGTTGGTTTTTTTTAGGTAATTCACATAATTTTATGCCAACATAACAACTTTTCTTCCACAAATTTTTCCCGATAGTCACCTGTTCCTGAACGGCGCTAATTTTAAAAATAAGGAAATATACTGCGTACTAGGCTTCCACGAATATCAAGCCGTGTCCAAGGACAGCTACTATCTCCATAACCGCCACTGCATATTGAAGATTAGTGCCTGCTAGTAGTCGACACACCGCCGAGCGACATCCCATAAAATATCACCGCTTAGTTTACGAATATTCAAAGTCTATTCTAATGAGCTACCAAAAAGTCCTGAGTTTGATTAAAACTGATAATAGATGCAATTTAGACTTGAGGACAGCAACTGAGTGAGTATCTAAATACCGCCTAGAACTTAACACAGCCAATTGGAATGTTGAGTGTACTAAATGCTTCATAACCTAAGATTATGCTACTGCAGCATTGTACTGCGGGATGCTAATTAAAATCGCGACCTGAGTGCTGATATCCGACAGTTTTCCTAGCTATAACCATATATTTAACACAGCTAAGAGGGCTAACTTTATTCTGGGAATTTTGGTATGTTCACGAAAGACAAATTGAAGATTACTCATGATACCTAAACCCTCTCATATCAAGAAAATACGAACACTGCATGCATACCATGCACAAAGGTGAGCCACTAAGATGGTACGAGGCCTTTGTAACAGCCTCTACGACGAGGGATGCAAAATACTTAACATATCCCACCTTGTTTATGTACGAACTCAGCTGACCTCAAGATGGTATGCTAAACATTAGCACTCATGGATACAGTACATGCTAGTTGAGATAAACAATTACAATATACTCAAAGGAACATGAGCAGAGATTTAAAATGCTACATTCGAGTTCTGGAATAAACAAGATGTTCTTCTCAGTTAGATCTCCGAAAATCCGAAACTATCTCTCATTTAGTATAATCTCGGTTCCATCTGTTGGCATCTTCAAAGGAAGACTGGATCTACATGTGCAGTCGACACCACAATCTTAGATGACAGCATCAGCAACGAGTAGACCAGTTCAGCGATACACTACACATGTTACCCTGAAGTTTCCTCCGACCATCATTGTGCACTAAAACACCACAGTTAGTCAATATCAATGAGGGATCTGGCGTTATTGAGTAACGGTACACGCTGCCACATCTCAGTACATCAAGGTAGAAGTAACCAAGACGGCAGACATAAATGAGGGAGAAATTGATCAAAAGTGGTGGGAACAGTTATCAAAAAATTCAATATGAAGATGACAAAGAAGTGTGGATACATCTGCCTTATTGAGATCAACCTAGAGTGTGTACCTTAAGATTTCATGCGAACCGCAATCGGGAAAGAGAAATATAACCATGTATCATCATTGGAGGGTCGCTATTACTTCTAGAGTATATTGTTGAATCATGCACTTGTTAAGGATTGTGTATGGGCTTTGATAGAAGCGAGACAAGTAGCTATAGTACATCCCTCTACCTAATTAGAAAAAGACGGTAGTTAAGGAGACTATAACCTGTGGCGAAGGACTCCTGGACATCCGTCACGACAGGTAGATGGTATGTTGGTCGAATCAGTAAAAAAATTTATTGGGTTATAATCACATTTGACTAAAATGCAGTCCAAACAAAAACGAATCAGACGTATTTATTATCCATACAGATTGCACAGGAATGTTGATTAGGCTGTTTCGAAACGGAAACGATTTGAGCTGGTATGAGCATGCCATTAATCCCACACAACCAGATATCAAAACATAGGCACACTTACCCGTGCCTAGCTGTATTTCGCAACTTGAATGCAGTACTCTAGTCCGTCAGTTGAGTCTGAGTAGCAGTGGCCTTACGCCTGAATATCCACAGGATTATAAGAGCCTATGGTAAGCTATCAGTTGGGCTGCCTAAATCAAAGGGCACTCGTCAGGGATGAGTTTAGACGAGTTTAGAATGTCCCACTCAAAATAAAATTGTTGTTTGAGGACTAAACTGCGTAGATACTTCAACTGATGATAGTTAGTGAAATGATTGACAGCACTGAACACTTCATTTTCTTGGGTAATTACACAAGCCTTGGTAGATTAGTACGGACTCAAATGACTTTTGATAACCTGCTTAGTACGTGGAGCCGGGGAGATATTCGCTTGCATATCAACAGTCGACTCGAGTTGTGGCTAATTGGTATAAGCAGTCAACCAACCGCTGGACCCCTTGTTTGAACACCACTCCCCTTCTAAAGGTTGAGGTGACTGGATAGTATGATTAGCTCTACTAGTCAGGCAAATTGCTTGCTGCTAGAACATGTACATAGTTTCTAAGTGGGTCTGGATTTTCAAATAAGGGTCCAGTTTAGAAAGCAACAGTTTGCTCTTCCCTAATTCATGGGTGTGAAATGTGAACATCTGTTCAACTACTCATACCTAACAGACAATGGCTACGGGCCGTGAAAGTATCACATTAGTAACGTAGAGGTTAAGTGAAGAGTTATGTGAATGAAAGTCAATGATATTGTAAGCCTTCGTCATACCAAGTGGCTGGAGCATATTGGGTATGCCTAAAAATTATGAATACTGACTCGTTATGTTGACTGAAGTAGGTTCAAAACGCATATAATAATAGCGTAATAAGTGAAATGTAGACGCCAGTTATGCAACTCTCGACGGAAAGTTGGAAAGGCTGTTTGAAGACGAAACGGTCTAAACCAGTCACTTTGCTGCTTTTTTAGGAAAATAACACCTCCCAGGCCAAAATATAGTTGACAATCGAAATCACCGGTCATGTTCAATCACAGGAGTAGATATATCCATAACATTTCATAATCGTCATAATACAATTTGTAACATACCTAGATAAACAACCTCCTACGACATTTCTACACAATACTCATTTTTATTTCAATTTCTCACTTGTCCTCTGATGTGCTATTGTGGTAGCTTTGACTGTTAAGTAATGCCAGCTCCTGAGCAGATGCGGATCAGTAACAAGCACCCAATTTCATGAAAATTGGTGTATATTTTCGTAGATGCATGCTAGATCAAGCAGGATTTTCACAGAGATGACTCCTGTAAGGTTTAACAGGTCAAAAGACCAGTTTTCTTTAGACGAGACGAACGGGTCTCAAAAACAGATGGAAGCATATTAACAAGCAGGTTTACCCGGAAAAAAACAGAGGTCACTTACGTTGTTCGGCGCAGCAATGCGAACATTGACAAGTCGACCAGCAAGTGATGAGTCAGTTCGTTCCAAGGCTTTGGCTAAGTCCTCACGACTCTCAAAATCTACAAAGCAGAATCCGCGCGACCCACTGTCTCCACCTACAATGTTTATATTTGTAACTTTGAGAGGGGTGAAAAAACTTAAAAAGCGTGCATGAAAGAAGCGATTTACAATTACTCTGCAACATCTTGTTCTGTAGCTGTGTACGACACGTTATATACAAATGCCCTGAAGGGCTTTTCCGTGGGAAGCTTCGCCAGCTCACTTTCAACTGACGAAGTAGCAGTAAACGTTGGCAACCTTGCTCTGATTTTTTGCAGCTCTTCCGCCTTTTCTTTCGACAAATTCAGCTCTGCCAAATTATCCGTTGGGTCCATATCAGCTATCTAGATGGAGTTATTATGTGTAAATAGGTATACTGTGTTGCTGGAGTATACAATATCGACATCCACACTTTGATTGAATCGGTTTTTCTTTGTCTTTTTCCCCATTCCTAACAATTTGTAAGTCACATGTAAAGATGAAACTACTTTGAAAAACCCACGCACATAAGAACTGAATGAAACAACTACAGTACAATAAACTACAGTTAAAAATATATTTGATTTACTGGATTGCATTGATTCATGAAGCTCTTGGCTTTTTTCAAACACACTCTTGGAATGGGTGAATGAAAATTTGCTTAATTTAGATGTCTCTACCGTCGATGGTTCAGTGAGAGGCACCGGAAGAAACTACATTCATAGAACCATATCTTTTGAATCTCTATGCCGTAGCTTCTTGAAAATGAATAGCCAGAAGAAATAAGACAGCAACTCCAGGGTCACTGTTATAGTTTAGGAGTGATTCGCATATTTGGTCAACCGACGTCATATAATAAGGTAATAGAAATATACTCACAAATTCCGAAACAGCTTTTCGCACTACCCTCGAAAGAAAACATTTAGCTTTCTGTTCTAACATCTAGAACCATAGATCCATACTGGTTATTGCTAATGTGAGACCACCCTGCAGAGGAGCGGTAGACGAGGTAATACCGGGATACATTAAGCATTCGGCTCATCTACTTACCCTGCTGCACCAACATTTAGTTTCTATGGATTGGGAGGAAAGTGAATATAATACGTTACATAGACTGTAATCCTAACTCTTCTACCCAACTGTTAATTAGTTGGATATTCTTGTTGCATTACTTGATCACTGAGCTGTTCCTAATGACCCCTCTTGCTGTTTAGAAACTTAGACAAAACAAGATATCGATGAAGATGGAAAATTCATGACCTTATAGCTTGCCTGCTGACGTGAAGACAAAAAAGTATAGCTTCGGTTTTCCTGTAGCATGACGATTAGACATGACAGCCTCAAGTTACTCCCGCTGTTCTAGCATACTTTAAATAACATTGTGCATCGAAGTAGACTGTGACTATGCATGCGTAGCACATTCATAGACCACATGGATCGATGAAGGTTTATAACCACATTAACTGACAGCTCTCCCTCCCAAAAATCTGCATCTGGCTTCAACGTTACTGACGGAGTGGTTCCATGAGGTACAACCCACGCTACGAAGGTGATGGCGATCTGACTTCTGAGGCCTTCTTATTCCCCTGCTTTTAATAGCCTTTAGGTGGAACCAATGTTTGCCCCACAGCATGCTCCGACCCCAATCGATGACCAGATGTCATGGCGGTGCCATAAATAATATTGGCTGGCGAAGGTCAGACAAGCTTCTTATATCTGTGAAGGGATTCCATCGATTAGCGACCTTCAGGATCCATCTAACTTCACGAGTAGGGTAGACAACATGCCGAACCACATCTCTACCAGTGTAAGAGCAACAGGACAGACCATTGCTGGAGCAATGGCTAGCAGCTGGATCGTTAGAAACGTATTTTCAACATTTTCGAATTACCTCTCGAGAAAACTGCATCTTGTCATCATCCTCAGGACCATATCATTACTGTAGTTGGGGCCTGTTGAAGGGTTTCGTCTGGTGAGGCTATTACTATCAAAGCCTGACGAGGAGGTAAAGGACCGCACAATCATGTCTCCGATCTAACTGAAAATGGCTGGACAGTGTGACAACCCTGGTGAAAACTACTTAAAGCACACAAGTTGCGTGGCACCTCGCCATAATCTCTGAAATGCTCATGGGTGTTCATATAAGTAGCCATTGTCATAGTGATGTACTTACCTTGCCCTTTTTGTAAGAGAAACTGCCGTAAGTACGCTTCAGGCTCAAGAAATACTGACAGTGTCGGGTCACAGTAAGTGTTTATGTTATCTAGAACCCAGTAGACGGTGAATATACGGTCAATGAGTTCACTGTTCTGAAACCCACGTGGTTCCCTCAACTAAGTTATTCCTAAGTTTTGCTTGGGCAGCTTCCAAGCATAGAACCTAACATGTTGGACAATATTCCCCGGACTGATCCTTTTTCCGCTATCATGGCAGGATTTCCCTCCTTGTGAAACGGGACAAGTAGTCGTTGAGACCGGTCAGAATGGACCATTTCCCGCCCACTACACTCTAGCTGAGATTTCAGTCAATCTAACCAATGACCTGCGATTCCATACACTGGTTAACAGTTCAGTTATTTCGACCAGCAATCCCCCGCCACCCTTCTTGATTACTTCTAGCACTAAAATATTTGGTCATCTGCAGTTCTTTGTCGTAAATGTTTACAATCCACTCAAACTCAGCAAAAGATGGAGGACCAGTCTCAGTGTAAAATTCACTATCGAACTTGATAGGAGGAGCCCGAGGACTAGCTGGAAGCTGGCCGGATTATTACTCAAGGTATTCCGACCAACATTTGGGTTCTTTCCCTAAAAATCTAATCTCAAATGCATTCTTCTTCCCCATCGTTCGACTGAACATAAACGTTTTTGTTCCAGCTAACCTGTTATGCCCAACTAGCCATCTACCGTTACGTACTACCAGGGCGTTTTCTATATTTTCCCCCTCGTTACCCACCAGGGTTCACTACCACTTCAAAAATGCATTCCGGTCAGCAGTTGAATCGCTTTCACTCGTGGTTGTGCCCAGAGAGGGCAGAAATACTTTGCGTACCAACATGGTTTGAAAAACGCCTCTGAAATCTAATGATTCTTTCCAACCTAATTTTGGGGTCATTAGCGAAAGTCAACGTCTGTTTTGAAGTTGACTATAAGTGGAACAGTTTCTCCAGGAGGACTGATGCCTCTCCCCTCAGGCAAATTCTTACTCTGTTCATCGTCAGGGGTAGTTTTGGCATACCCATCATCAAGTAGCGCTGAAAAGTTTTACCCTGGTCAGGTTGCAGACCTTCACGCAGTCGCATCTAGGAGTGATCACCCTTCAGATAGGCACCGTGGAAGAAGAAGAAGAAATAATCTGCCCACCCTGTTCAGAAGTAACTCACACCGATATGGTCTACTTGAGCCCGCTGTTGAATCGCGGTCAGTGGAATCTACTTTAAATGCTGACTTTCAGCACATCTAAGGTATCCCACGGCAAGAAATAGGTGATTATCTAGGTGCAGCTGTGGCAAGCAATCGGAGCTATTCATTCATTCAGCTGGAAACCTGGAAGTACCGGCCATATGCAGTCCTGTCACGCTTAGCACTTCTACTGGTGCACTTCAGCTATCCGCGACGGCAACCAAGCCCAAACGTCTGGCCTCCAGCAGGGGCTAGACAGTTTTAGGTAGAACTCACCTTTCGCTGTGTCCGAACTGCAGCCAGCTTGTGCATAGGGAGATATTTCAAGGAGATAACAGTGTTTCACCATTCTTTTAGGTCCCCACTACGGGGCCCAACCATACAGCATGTGGGCGGCTGTCAAATGGGATTCGGTAGACCAGCCAACAATTTGCCTTGGGATCTGGTGACATGTATACAACTTTGGGGCCTCCAGAACTAGTAGTAGGACTTCCAAAAACCCAGAAGGTGGATTAGTTGGATTCACTAAAGTGATCTAATGAGGTTAAAAGCACAACAGCACTCCAGTCTCGCACGCGTATCCCGCAAATACAAACTGCGTCCGTGTCCAGAGATGCCAGGGCTTTGGTTAATGAGGTTTGTTGTCTGATTTCACGGAGGTCGGGCACACCTAAAGTTACAATGTGTAGTTTGGAGTGTGATTTCAAGAGACCGCTGACGCTGTTCCGTGAACGCGAATCATTATCAAGAGCCACAGAGCTGGAAGAAACTAAAAGTGCGGTAGAGGCATTGACGAAGATACGTTCGTCTACATTGTAAAAGGAAAATTGCTACTTCCCGTTCATCCAACCAGAACATCTTACCACCCACTACCGAAACTTTACGGTTATCATCTAGCGAAATATGGCGATGCCACGAGGTTAACGAGGCTGCTTGTGTGTGGAACAACAGTGTAGTAGGTCAGTAGTGGACTAAAGGTAATCTCAGAGCAGCGCTGATCCACCATATCTGCTTTACGCTTTGTTCCGCGTGCCTAACTGTGGCAAAGGATAGATAGTGAACCTGAGTCGGGATAACGAGGAGCAAGATGGCTACGTCAAGAAGCACTAGTGCCGTCCATCTTCGCTGTTTTCTTCCAAAGTAAGAATCCCCATGACCTTGTCCAGCCTGTTAGTTCACCAGCTGCTAGCCAATCAAAGGCCCGGAAAAGAAAGAGAAGGTTGGGCTTGAGGCCAGCAACCCTACCCCGGAAAATCAATCCAATCGCAAGAGAAACTTGAAAGCGCGTAGAACATATAAAGAATGAAAATGAACCTATTCCTCGCTGGAATCGGGGAGACGAAGTGACGCCGGTTATTGAAAGCCTTTTGGAAGCCGACTGGCCTCTGTATCTTCTTCTCTCGAAGAAAGCAAAAGTACGTATGGGGGCATGGAATGTCCGCACAATGTTTGAAACTAGCCAGGCTACCCAGATTGCTGAATAGACAGGAAGGTACAGCATAGAAGTGCCAGGAATCTGAGAAACCAGATGGAATAGAAGTGGACGCTCTCGAACGTCAACTGGAGGGTTAATAATCTACGGCGATATTGTCACCCAGACGACAATCACTGGCACACTGAGTTATAGAGTGGCTATCCCCAACAGCATCGAAAGCTCTCTTGCAGTAAGAACCAGTCTCTTCCAAGGTCAGGATCACGACGGCAAGATTCAGCTCAAAAGGAAGGAAAGTCATCATCATACAATGCTACGCGGCGCATCTACAAACAATGCGGATCAGGAGGAGAAGGAGGACAAGATCCAACCGCAGTTGGTGACACCGAATTTCTAACGGATGAATGCCAAAATGGAAGCAGAAAACTAAGGAAAAGAACTCATCACGGGTTGAGAAGCACCCGGTGAAATGATGAATGAGAATGGAGAACTGTTTGCAGACTTCTGCACATTCAACGATTTGGTGATTGGAGGCGATGCAGTGTGTACAAACCCGAGGATATTCACAAAACAAGCGATGTTGATTTCGCCAGACACTAGGACACGCCACGCCAAAAATCAGATCGAATTTATCTCAATCTCGAGAAAGTGGGGACATAGCTCACTGGACACAGGATCAAGAAGAGGAGCAGATGT